ACACACACACACAATTGAAATTTCAAATTCAGGTTTTACTTTATAAAATATGCCATTTAGGTAAAAAAAATCATTTTCAAACGATATTTTTTTAATTAAAAAGCCACTAATAGGCTCTAAAATCAATAGTGCATGGAAATATGTTCTAAGAATTTTATATTATGTTATTTTTCACATAAAATTCAGCACTCTTAGTTGTTCTTTCACAACAAATAATTCCAAAATGGGAGTATGATGGGAATTCTTCACGGATATATGCCATCAATCTTGCTATAGTATTTTCATTCAATATTTAATTTAGCTTACCAACCAAAATCGCGGTGTGCTCGTTAAGAATCGTCATTATCGAACATAGTTTGAGTTGAGATTTCCTCGGTTTGCTTGCAAATATTGTCCGTGCCAACATTTGTGTCTTTTGAGTTATGGTTGTGCATCGGCCGAGCAACTTGCCCTTTGTTCTATAAAGGGCATTGATTCTTTTCTAAGTATACGAACAATGGAATGTCACATGGATTAACTTGAAAAGGCCAACTTGGTGACAAGAATGTACTGTGGTTTGGTTAAAGTGTGAGGCTAAACTTTCTAGGATTATGATAGGAAATCCCTAATAGGAACACTTTGATTTGTCTTTTTTATGTTCCCTCTATCTAAACAAGAACAGTGATAAAAAGCCTAGTAGTCGGACAAAACCAGTAGATAAATTGAGAGGAAGATTGTTGCTCTCCATGGACACAAGAAGAACATGATGATGATGACTCCTTGTTCATCAAACCAATAGAAACAATAGCAATTGAGTGTATATCCAATGCATTGAATATGATATATATTTCTAGGATTTCAAGTCTTACATGTGAACATTGAAAATTTTATCTTATTCATTGTATGTGAACTAACAAACATGTAATTGAAACAGTAAGATCTTTTCTTAAAATAATTATATATATATATATATGCTAAAAAAGAAACAAATGTCAACCTAGTTATAATAATTTTCTTTTAAGCCGCGAATGATAAAAATACTATATTTATGTCAAAGAAGAAAGCGAGATAATAAAAAAGTTGAACGATAAAAATATTATTTTTTAAATTAATAAAAATACGATAGAAAGAAAGCGAGTTAATCGAAAAGGCGAACGATAAAAATATTGTGTTCATTAAAACGTATAAAAATACGATAGAAAGAAACCGAGTTAATCGAAAAGGCGAATGATAAAAATATTATATTTTACATGGAACCGACAATCCTGCCACGTCACTGAGCCATCCGACCAATGAATGAAGGATATGATGGCTTAGCATCCAGATGGAGGATGACTGTACCCAATTCTTATTTCTCTCTAAGCACATTCCATCTACAAGATGGGGGAGGGGGTCAAATAACATGTGCAAAAGCAAGAAAACCCTCAGCAAAGGCGTCCAACACAGTCCACTTTTTCTAGTACCAAACCTACCTGATCTTCCTTTTCCATGCAAAATTTGCAGCTTTTCCATAAAGCAAGATTCCTACCAAACACACACACATCCTCATCTCTCCCAAACTCCAACACTTGAAACCATGATGGAAGGATGTCTCTCTCATCAGCCTGTTAGAATGAGAGAAGAAGAATAAAAAAATGGTTCCACAGGCCATCATCAACTTGCAGTAAAAACTGCAGTGGTCTGTAGCTGCCGTGAGAAGGCAATTTATGTCAACCCATTCACTGAGCTACATGGTTGTCTTCCTTCATGAAAAGGTGCGGAGTTTTACAGCGAGGGCATCTGATTCCTTCGCCATGGCAGATCTACTTGGACTTGGAGCCTTGTCAAGCTGTGTTCTCTCTTTACAATCCTCCGCCTACTGATCCGTCCCTCAAAAGCAGGAACAAGCTGCACTGGAATTCTCACCTCCCCACGCAATAATAGCCCCATGATTCCTCTTCCCAACATTCACTCGGCTTCTTTAACGCACTCCAAAGCTACCACCTCTCTCCGCGGCTCCCATGCTTAGGCTTCAGCAGCTGCACGCTGCACGAGGGGGATCTTGCATTTCTGTATTGCATGCATGCAAGCTTCCAATGCAGAGCCAAAGGCGATAGATCTTTGAGTTTCGTGCCGAGTGCATGGTAACCACTTCAAACTCTCCCCACACACATCTCTCTCTCTCTCTCTGTGTCGCTGCTGTGGAGCCTATTGGGAATTCTCACAAGTACCGAAGTAGATTTGTTTAAGAAAAGGAGGGTCACCGCTGGGATCTTTAGGCTTTACCTGATATCAACCAGGCTTGCTTGGTGGTGTTAAAAGTAATGGGGGGGATGGATTTGGCATGCTTGGCTACGTTTAGGTACAAGCAGAATCTCTGGTGTTGGGAGCTTCTTTTGAGCATCAACTTTAGACCAGGAAAAGTTTAGTGGCTAGCTAATCCATGGTGGAGTGAAACTTGGAATGGCATTCTCTTCTCCAACCAGTTTAAATAGGATTTGGGCTTATCTTTTGGGCCATATTGGGCCTCACCCGGATCGATCTAATCAATGACCCATCCGATAATTCGTACATCAACTTTATTCGGTCTAAACCATCGATCGAAGATGTATTCTCCAGATTGATTATAGTATCATTTATCGTAATCCAATTTGATAAGATAATTGATACAAGATATAAGCTCTAGTCATTAATGCTAGATGCTTAAACTCAAGTTAATTATAATATACTCATTAGATCTTTAAATAAAGTAGAGTCATATGTTTACTCAATCATAGGAAAGAAAATAGAGGGAAAGAGAAAGGAAAGATAGAGAGGAATTCTAAAACGGAATATATTATTGAGTAATTATTGTTTATCTTTATGTTTCAATGATGATGAGTTTAATTTATGATTAATGAAATTAACTGCCATCAAGATATGTTCATGATCAAAATTTGAAGATTAGCAAGCTAAGAATAGAGAACTTACCTAAAAACCAAGCAAATAATGGACTCAACGGATGCAAAATACAAATGGATTAAAACTATCAAATTCATCCCCTAAATAATAATTTTTTTTAATATTCAAAAAATTAGTTGACTTAGTCAAAGTGTTGACTTATATCTTTGATTACTAATTGACTTGGATTTTGTTTAAATGAATCATGGACTATCTTAAATGTGATATCTTCAAGATAATCCAATTAGTATGATTTGTGATTGCTAATGTAGTTTATGAATGTTTGATCAAAATATTAATTCAAAACCAATCAAGAAGTAAGATATCTAACAAAACCCTTAAATTAGTTCAGAAGAGTTTGCTAAATATCAAATATGTAAGAGAGCAAATGCACTAAAAAGCTTGGTCTCTGAAAACATACTTAAGGGGCTTTTTTACTATGAGACTTATGATTATTGTAGTCAAGATCATGGTTAAATATCAAGAATAGTTATATACTTCCTTTGGTATCTATGTGAATCTAAATAACAGGGTATAATTTAGTTGAGTTCAATTGTCATGTTGTCGAAACGATAATATTGTATTGATCAGATGTCGATCACATGAGAGTGAGGTATCGATAGTCATACACGTATCATTACAAATTCAAATAAATTTTGTATAATTAATTCATTATAAGTGAAATAAGATTGAAATTTTTTGTTTAAGTTCAAAGATGAAGGACAGTATACGGGTGCGGGTTCATATGTGTAGGTTAAATTATATATATATATCGGAAAATGTTTGATGTGCACCACATTATAGTCTTGGCATCATAACCTCCAAATGTTAATGAAAATAATAACGTTCTTTCTCTAATAGTCAATCGATCAAAATTATTTATATATAGATATATATTAATTTTTTCCTATTTAGTATATGGATATGTAGGAATCGAATATTTTAGATCGGAGCGGATTAGGATGCGGGCGTGGGTCGATACGGATCATCTACCACCCGTACCCAACCCTAAGTAGTGGATTTCGGTTCGCGTTGGGACAAATCCGATCCATTAATAGCCATCTCCACTCCTTCTGCGTCCCGAACACCGGCCACTCCAAAACCCACCGATGGGTACCCCTCCCCAAAACATCCGCCGGATTCCGTCTCCTTCCGCCGATTTCCCATCTTCTAATACTCACCTCTCCTTTTAGGGTTCCTTTTTCTCCCTCTTCCGTGATCTTTCTCCCTCACACACTCTCCTCGATGGCGTCTTCGAGCTCTGATTTGGGGCACGCACGGCCAGAAGACGACGAGCTGGCCTCCCTGGACGAGCTCTACAACATCAACGTCGTCCCTTCCGAGCTCTTCTTCAAGTTCCGCAAGCAAATCGAGGGTTTCCGCGTCGGCGCCAATCTCGAGGTCCTCACTTGCTTTTCTCCTCGCTCATTTTCTGTTTTCTGTTAATCGAGTTTTTCATTAAATTTACATCTTTTCTTGTCCTTTACGTTGCATTCGTCTACATTGAATTAAATCTAGGTTAATTTATTGTTGCTTTAATTTCTTGTTGCTTTCTTTGCCTTTGTATAATTGGATATACTACATAAAGGGACAGCAGCCGCTCAAATTTGCAATTTTCTTTATGCAAAGAGTCTTTGGTCCATATTCTTGATATGGAAAAATACGTGATGCGTAGAACGTTGGTGTACTTTCTATTATTATCTCTTTTCATCTCTCTTTCAACCTTTGCAGAGCTACACAAGAAATGGCCATTCTATTCGGTGTGAGATGCCACGAGAGCGTCATGTGCCAACAGTCAAGTGTTTGAAATTTTCTTGATGTATGGGAACGTATATGTATAAAGGAAAAATATCTTTTTTAATGATAGCAAGTGGTTGGAAAGAGGCAATATTTACCTCATGAGAAATTTCTAGAAGATTTCTGCAAAGAGAAAATCTAAGGCATTCTCGACTTTTAAAATAAAATAGAGTCTATCATACGAGAAAAATCCATTCATTAGGATATGCAATAATAAGGAAGAATTTCAATATCTTGCATATACTTTTGAAACACAGTTTCTTGCTAAAATGTACAGTTCACTGATATATATTATTGCATTTAAGTTATTTGTCCTACATACCATATATTTGAGGATATTTTCTTGCTAAAAGTGTACTCTTCTCTGCACTGACTAGTATAAATTTCCTTTATCTGACCATTCAAGAGTACCAGTAGAAGATTATATTCTTAATACCTGTAGTTATTCCTCAATCAATTTCCAGTATGTCATTTTAATTTGTGACATGCAATCCTACAAAGCTTCTACCTTTGTTTGCTTATGGTTTTTGAAGAAAGAAGACAGAAATTTGAGGGTTAATTTGCTGGATTTCAACTTGTCTAAAATTGGTTTACTGGAGAAGGGCACATTAATTTCCTGGATCTCAGCTCCCAAATTTGGAAAAAGAATGTCTTATTTCTTTCCTTCTTTTTTCTGTGTATATCTTTCAAATGTTGTTGTAGTTATTACCAGATTATTTTTCTTAAAAATTCTATCCTCTTGCTTGTTTTCATGCATATTATTACTCTTCCATCTTCTATAATTTCTGCTACTGTTATTCTGTGAGATTTTTTATTTTAATGTCTTCGTAGGTCATTTTTTCCATTGCAACCAGATAATTCATTCTCTTTTCTTGTTCCAGTTTTTCAATTTGTCAGCTAATGAGTTCCATGCAAAGTTAGTTCTTAAGCCCACTGCTGCTGATAGGAGGTGGAAGTTCATTTATGAGCCCTTGCATGGAGATATTCGGCTGCTTTCAAAGAAGATACCTCTTACTAAATATCTGAATCTTCAGGTTTTCTTATTTTATCTTAAGGCTTCACAAGTCTTGAACTGTATATGCATGAATGCTTTCACAGAATCACAACTTATCATTAGCATATTTGGAATTTATATACAATTTAGTTTCCATGTGGTATTGTATAGAAGTAAAGTAATAAAATTTACATTTGAAATGCTTGTGTGTCAGTTTATTGTTTTCTTTCTTTTTTAATTTTTTAGGTATTTAAGTATGCCATGCAGCCATGGGCTCTTTTCTATATGGTCAGCCAATAACTAGCTAGGAGGGGTGATCTTTTATATGATTTGAGGATCTATATGTCTTAAATTGCTTATATGAGTTAATCATGCTTATTAGTTGACAGATAAATCACTGACTTACTATGTTACAATCCAGGGGCTACGTGATGATTATCAGGTCTATTTTAGCCTTGTATTAGATTTTTCTTGGTTAAGATAACTAGAATCTGCATTGAAAATTTAGCCGTTAAAGAGAATTACCTAAAAAGGAACAAAGGGAATAAAGGGCACTTTCAAGGTCTACAAAGAAGTTAGAGATGGTAAGACTTTTTAATCATATGAATGGTAGGATGACTAAATAGCATGGTTGATGTATTCTAGTTTTAAATTATGACAATGTTAAATGATCTCTAACTTGAGTCCTAGTTTGATTAAATCAAGTCATTGTGGTATGATGTAGTAGACGAGTTTTCATCTAGTCTCAGTGCTTATTCAGCAGTTGTCATATCATTTATTCTGTATTTTGAGGTAACTCTGGAATAATAAGGAATAAAGAACACTTTCAAGTTTCAAGGTATGCAAAAATGTTAAAGATGTTAAAACCTATTAACATATTGAATGCCTCTTGACTGAATAGCATGGTTGATGTATTTCTAAAAAATTTAAATTAGGGATTTTGAGGTTAAAATATAAAAAGAAAAGAATCAGACAGTAAGCTTGATTATCAGGTGATAAGCCCTTTTGCTGCATGTGGACTGCCCAAAATTGGGCGGTCTGCATGCAGGTTGGTTCCTGGACCAGTAAATATCAGCCAATGCATACTGATCCAGGCATAATTGCATTCCTTGCTCAGGATTACAAGTTCACGTCAGGTATTAATGAGATATTGTTGATACTAACTAATGGAACAGAGATTAAAAAAAACCAAGGACCTTGAGTTGCAAAACATGTTAGGAAGTTGTGCCACAAGCTTTATAACTGAATCTCCATTATTATCCTAAATGGAAATTTGTTTGTTCTAATTTATAAGTCTACTGGAATCTGGCACTACCCAGGTGCTTGAGTGGAACTTATTTACTATTCGTTCATTCATAGACAAAGTGAAGCTGTAGAAATCATGCTTGAGGAATACGTAATATTCAAAAGCTACTTAAGTTTTGTGCTATTATTTCTTAACCTCCAGAAGGTTATCTCATTGCTTCCCCATAGTTGACTTTTTTTTTGTTTATTTGTGAACATAGTTGTCCCTTTATACTATTTGTTTAGGTAAGAGTCCACATTGCAGAATGGTTAGGATTATTAAACTTCATTGTTCGTAACAATGCTTGCTTTGAGTTGCAAAATATTAGAAGTAGTTGGTTTTGCCTTGGATTTTTTTGTGAAAAAAAATTATTGAAGTTGCAAAGTTGAAGGATTTGATTTGCTAGATCTACGTTTGGCATGAATTTAATGAACACGTGATAATTTTGAGTATACAAGGTATCAAAGAAATTAATTACTAACTTTCAGCTCATTTTGGTGAGATTTGGAGTTCTGGAAACAGTAATACTATTACAGCTTAAAGTTAACTGCCAGTTTCTTATGTTTTCAATTGAGACTTACAACAGGCTTATTATGATGAGGATTCAGGAAATGTGTTTATAACAAAAACTCAAATTTTGGTCTTGTACTGATACTAATCATTGGTCAGATTGGGTACAGCAACAGTATCGTACCATACAGATATGGCATGATCCAATACCAACTGGTTTCTTCTGGACCAGCCAATACTGGTTCAACACCCAGTAAAGCATGGAGTTCAGTAAAAAAAAAAATCAAGACATGAAACAAGGTTATGTCCTCTACTCCCACAATGAAACTTCCCAAGAAAATTCTCACCTATAGAGAAGGGAATAATGTACCTGTAACTGATTGTTGAACAACATGACGTGCAAAAAGCCTTGTAACTTCCCTAATGCCTCTGGAAGATATCTTAGATGTCAACCTTCTCCAAGCACTAACCTTGTTCGTCCATGTAGGGTTCCAATCACTTCCCATCCTCTTGCCCAACGTAAAATCCTGCTTACCATCATCCACATTACCGCCCTCAACTGTGGATGAGTATATCTGACTTCTGACTTCTATTACAAGCTTCTGTTAGTAGCCTCTAGCATGCATCATGACCACGACCAGATAAACAGTGGTTTGCTATGCAAACTTCTCCTTCACGGCCTTTGCTTGGCACTCCGCTCACTTTGCCTGGTTTGCCAGTCACTAGACTTGGTCAACCTCCTCAGGGCGTAAGGCCTACACAATCTCCTTGAGTCACTGGAAGAGGCTGACTCAATCTTGCTGAGACAGCATGGGCGGCATCAACTGCCTGGTAGTAGGGACAATCCCTGAGGATATGTAGGATGGAGTGGATTTGGGCAACTTAAGAGACCACGAAGGCCATTGTAGCAAGGAGAACTGAGAGCTGAAGGCAGGTAGTTGCTGCACAGATTGACATCAGTATCATCATCATGGTGCTGGATGGATGGATCAAATGAAGGAGGTTGTTTGAGGGTTTGATAGAAATTGAGGAGGCATTCTTGGGCAGGCAAGACATCTTGTAAGAGAGGATGGGGAAAGACTCGAAGTTGGGACCCATTGTTTTGAAGGATTGGGAGGGAAAGTAGTTTGTATTTGTCAATGTGGGATAGGAGAAAATGAATGGGAATTGATTACTGCATAGTATAGCACAGTACTGATGTTTACCACATTCTATGCCTGATATGAAATCAGACTAGGTGAATTGCCAATTTGTATCGGTTGGCATTGGATCTAGGTTTAGAATTTATACATTCCTGTATTGGATGCACGCCATCTGTTGGATCTAGGTTTAGAGTATTTATGTCACAACACGATCTGAAGGGATAATTGACTCATTAACTTCATTAAGTCCGAACAATTGGCTTTAAATACCTACGCCCTAGTTACTGATGGTACACCAACTTTGTCAAGCCTGAACCGGTGATCCAAAATGCAAGTTAACTGTAGTACACCACCTTTATAAGTCAATCTAAATTTTAGCCTACTTCTAATGTGGATTAAACCAGGTGTAACAAGTGATGAGAACATGAGATGAAATCAAAAGAGAATATGACTTAGATTTGTTGTTGTATTGTGGCTTAAGAGATGTTAAGTTGGTTTAGTCTTTTGATGCGGATGATGAAGATGGTGAGTGGGAAAACCAATTGTTTTGATGACACAAAATAGAAAAAAGCATAATGCCATAGTGCTATGCTCGCTACTTCACAAGTATCCTTTATCATACTGTATCAGAAATTAGCTTTTTTAGGTCCTGGAAATTTTTATATTACCTAGGTACCAGGTCAATAGTCATATACAAAAAATCATGGGATAGTGACAATAGAGAAACCAAGTTTGAGGGATTGCATGATTAGGAGCCCTTGGATTTACATAAACGATGATCTTTCCCGAGTAAAAAAAACTCTGATTTCACAATTTTTCTTAAAGTGTGTTGAGTGTCATATTTACTTTTGATTAGAACATCACCACATCTTGTGACTCTTTTTAGTGACCAAAGGATCCATCATGAGTACATGTGGCAATGGAAGTTAAGGGGAATTGCTTGTGATTTTTTGGTTAAATAGGGTTTTTAACTGGTGTTCCTATAAGTTTTGAGATGCCTTGAAGTAGAATAAAATAGAAACAAAGAATTTAAAAAATGTCATCCCTAGTGATTAGGCTAACTTGCATATGTAAGCATATCCTTTCACTAATAATATGTTCCTTCATGCTGGTTAGGTGGAAATAGTGATGTGTATCTACCATCAAATACCTTTCAATAGTGCATCATCTTTGTCATACCTATATGCTGAAGAAAAGTTCGCATTCTTCATATACTTGTTGGTTGTATGATGGCTGGTAACGAAGAGGAATCTTGCTTGGGTCAGTCTTGGTAGTCCTCGGTAGCTGAAATCTAATGCAATTTATGATGCATGTTTTTATTTATCAAGAGATGATGCATCCTACGTAGAATATTTCATGATAGTTAATGACCATAATGGGTGATCATTCCCAAATTGCAGGTCGGGATTGGCCATAATTTTCAACTAAATGCAACTGGGTGGAAGTGGAAGCTTTCTACATGCTTGGGTGGAGATGGTGTTTCCCAGATTAGAAATAAAACATCAGTTGGCTTATGCCCAGGAGTTGATCTGAGGATTGGTTGGAGGGCTGAATATATCCTTCCCGAGATTCACGGGTAAGTAAAGCCTTGTGCTCACCATAGTCAACTTATATAATGCTTCTTCAGTGCATATTTTACCATGTCGAGTCCAAATCTATGGACTTGTTCACGTAGGAAGAGTTTGTACCCGTGAATCTCGTCATTCCATTATTTCTCCTAGTGATAGATCCTCTTTTGCAAGTAATGCTCAACGAAGCTTGTTTCGACACTTTACAGGGCTGTCGGCACCGGAGAACCAATGTTTAATATGAATTATGGTCGCCTGCAAGCGTCGATAGATCGAGTGGAGGCAATAATAACTCAAGGTTAACTCTTCATTAGGGCATTCGTACTCGGTTTAGTTAAACCAAAGCACAGAAGGCAACCTCGTTGCTATGCTCGGCCAGCGGCAAACAACCATCCTAGCAAGAAGCAGCTACTCCAGATGTGATTTGCCATAGTGCGTCAGCTTTGTCATTACCTCTATGCTGTACAGAGTGTTCCCTCAAAAGAGTAAATAGGCTGGAAAAATAAGATAAACAAGTCTCTCGTTCATCTTTCTTTCAAGTTTTTAGATGGTTTTTGGTTGGATCATTGATTTGTTGCTTACCAACTAAACTACTTAACACTATCTATCTGTGTGCCATGTACACAAACGCTGATGTTACAAAGGACGGTATGTATCAGAATACCCATCTATTCAAGAAATTTTATTGGCTACGCGTCGTAAAAATTCATTCAAATATTTTCTTGTTGACTGTGATGTCTCAATCTATTTGAAGCACAAAAGCTGTCTCGCAACCTCGTTTTCAGTGTCGGCCCAAACTTCAAAGCCATTCGGCAGGCGACACATTTAGTGCTCAGCTTTAACTATTCCTCAACCATTCCTTCCATCCCCAACATAGAGATGGATGGATGGATGGATAGCGTCATGCGTCACGAGAGCCCATACCGACACTGACGCATGAGAGCAGATCAGAGACCCCACCCATAACATACCCAATCAATCTGCTCATCCTCGCAACCAAACGCTCAGATACAGCTCATGCCTACCCCATTTGGCTCAGTGAATATTCTCCCTTCCTCTCTCTTACACAGATGACAACAATCTTTTCCCACCACAACGAGGGGACCAACAACTCGTACCGTAGAGAGCTAAGGCACACACAACACATGGCCCACCACACCACACTTGATTGATTGCCTCATCTTCTAATGCAGCAGCAACAACAACTGCCACTGTATCCAGAACTCATCAAGACAGTTCACATGATCCACTGTATCCAGAATTGAGGCTGCTGCCTGTGTCAAAATACGGTGTCTACAAAGTTTACTCGGAGTTCTGCGATATCACCTCGCCAAACTTGAGGAAGAGTTGGCCGTCCGACGTGCTGAGCGAGGTGGCACAGTCCAGCATGTTGGGGTTCTTGAGGTTGGCGTACTCGTCGATGTAGCTGGGCACCGAGGGGGGCTGTGTCAGCCCATGCGGCTGCGGCTGCTTTGGCGTCGGGCTAGGTTGGACGAGGCATCCCAGCACGCGGCTCACCTCGTGCATGGTCGGACGATCCGACGGCTGCCTCTTTGTGCAGAGGAGGGCCAACTGGAATACCTTCTTTACATCCCCAAGATCTTTACATGTGGAGGAGATTTCTGGATCCACTGTCTCCATGACAGCATTGTTTGCAGCCTTCGATAGGATCTGTCACAAAGTTGATCCATATCAACAATTGCCTGTTTATCGCAGCATTATACTATTGCTACCGAAAACTAACACTTGTATATTTAGCAACCATTAGCAATGAATATAGACTTCATCATTTGCATGCAACAAAAAAGGGATAAAGGCTAGCTTCTGGTCCCAGAGAGGTCCTACATGTTAAGTATACATTGAAATATCACAAAGTGACAAATTAAGTCATTAGCATGAGTATATTTGGCTTCAAGCAGGTCACTACATAAGTATGCAGTTTAATAAGGCGCAAGCATCAGTAAGTTACCAGCTGATGAAGATTGGACTCGTTATCCACCGGTTTCCTTCCGGTCAGGAGCTCAAGCAGGACAATGCCAAAGCTGTAAACATCAGACTTCTCATTCAACCGGGAAGTTCGGGCATACTCAGGATCGATGTATCCGATAGTACCCATGACATAGGTGGAGGTATGGGTCTTGGAGACACATAGGCTCTTTGCAATGCCAAAATCTGTGAGATGGGCCTCGTAATCTTTGTCCAATAGTATGTTTGAAGACTTAACATCCCTGTGGATGATGCGAGGACTGCAATCATGGTGAAGGTAGGCCAGTCCTTGTGCAGCACCAAGTGCAATCCGCAGTCGTGCATCCCATTCCAGCTTTTTCTTTTTTGTAGGGCCTGTAGCAGCTAATAAAGCAACTTTCTAAGAATTTAGAAGTGGCATCCGATAAGACTACGATGCAGCAGCATAAAATTTTACTGGAGTCTGAAAAGCCTATGGAGAAATTATTACATGCATAAACTGCAGACATGACTGTCTTCCCCCCAGCGACTAACATGCAAACACAAGGAGAAACATTGCAGGATGTTTCCTTTGGGCATGTTAAACTTTGCTTAAAAAATGATTTACTAATATATATGAATATGAGAACCCTTCAACATCCAACAGGAGGCATTTCTAATAATAAGAATTTCATTAAAAGCTGAGGCAGGTTTCTTGAGGCAAGCGTACCATGTAAAAGATCCCATAGGCTGCCATTCTCCATGTAGTCATAGAAAAGGAGGTTGCCAAATGGGGACAAGGAGTATCCTTGGAGGCTAACCAGATTTCGATGTTTGATGCTCCCTACAGTCTCCAGCTCAGTCTCGAATTCCTTCAAGTTATGCGGATAGTGAGAATAAAGCCTCTTGATAGCCACCGGCTTGCAGTTCTTCAACACACATTTGTATACAGTGCTCGATGCTCCATAACCAATAATGTACTTCTCACTAAGATTTTCAGTCATTCTCATAATGTCTTCATATACATGAAGAGCCATGTTCATATGAAGGATCACCAGCTTCGGTGAGATATTGTTAACTGCAACATCATGTGAAGGTCATCAGAAAAGGAGCAACCTACTACAACAAAACAGAAAAAGGAAACTATGCCAGAAAATAAGTTCTGCAAATATTTATCTATCAACATATGTTTTACTAAAATCCTGTTGTCATCAAAAAGACTAAAAATTGATCAAAAATGCTACCTAGTTAGCATATAAATGAGCATAAACTAGAATTAATACATGCAATTTTTTTATGTCAAGAGTAGGTTTCCGCATGAAAAAGGCCACAGAAAGCAAACAATATTACCGCAAGTTTTACTAGATGTCTCATGGACTACCTGGTTTGTTTATTGAGCCATCTGGAAAGGGAGGAGGTTTATGTGGTCGACAAGCTGCCACTAAGACCACCAAAAGGATTAAGAGAGCGCCCAAGGCAATGCCCCAAATGGCAGCTTTAGAAACTGAAGCTGCTGCACACAAGACAGTGAAAAACTATGATAATTTCCTTGTATCAACTTATCTAGAAAATAGTTTCATTTAACACTAATGATAGAACTACGTAGTAAGGCCAAGTAATATGTATTTACAAAGGTCTGAAAGGGTAACAGCAATATAGAACCCAGTCAAAACAATCAGCAAGAAGATAGCAGAAGCCAAGTGATACCTCTCTGTGGGGAATGGGAGGAATGACATTGAGAGCTTAGCCAATAGCCACAAAGACTAGGATTTCCTACAAAACTGTACAAGAAAAGGACAAATTCAGAACACAAGTAGCATAGTTATTACAAAGCAAGTATAGACTGGAGGATCTTTGTTTAATATGCACAAGTAAAATAATCTAAATGGATTTGATAAACATGGTTTCTTGCAATAGATGTGTCGTTTGCTAAGCACAAAGTATTGATAATAAATGTTGGTGGTGTTTAGCTCCACACCTGTCTGGAGAAAATCGTGAGAAGTTGTTGCTAGTTGGAACATCACCAGCAAAACTGTTGTAGGATACATTCCTGGTTGGCATTGCAGAGTCATTGTAATGTTAAACAACTATTTTTTCAGTTACAACTAATTGGAAACTCAGCTCATAAATCAACTTACAGTATAACAAGACTAAAGCAGCTAGTGAGAGTCGTTATGTCACCCGATAAATTGTTGCTTTCCAATTTTCTGCAAGAAGGTTAACATTCAAGAGTGACAAAAGAAAAGGTTAACTTGCTTATCGTCAAAATTTGGCATGAGTAACATCAACTTAATTACTTGAGCAGAGTCTTACAATGTGATCAGATTTTGAAGCAGTCCAAGTTCCTGAGGAATCGGACCTGAGAGGTCATTGCTCGACAAATCACTGAAATTCACAAGTTTAGTAGAGTTTATTGTAGTGCTGATACTCTTATCAAAATATTTTCAACACTAAGTTACAGAATCTTACATCTCCATGATACTCCTCAGGTTTCCAAATTCAGCAGGTATGTTACCAACAAGTTTATTGTTGCTAAGATTTCTAGAATATATTGACAAGAAAGTCAGACAAAAAGAAAGATGAGAAATGCTAATGATGGTAGAACTCACAGTTTCAAAAGGTGTTCTAAACCACCAACAGAGGAAGGAATAGGGCCGTTGATTTCATTGCATGATATATCACTGCAGAATAATTGTTTAATCTTTTTATGATAGAAATTCAAAAAGTAGCATGCAAAAAACATTATTGAGGCTTTTATGAGTAAACATACAGAGTGTCCAGATTACTAATTCTTGATAACTCGATAGGTATAGATCCCTTTAATCTGTTTGATGAGAGATTCCTGCATAAAAAAAGAGGCACTCAATCATGAGAAGCCCTGATAGTCCATTATTAGTTGGTTGAATAATATACACAAAATCAAATTAAAACCAATTCAATGCCAATTCAAAAAGCTCCAAGAAGTAGAAAGTTCCACAAAGCAGGTTACCATAGAACAACCTAAGGGCCATATAATCAATTAATGTTTTACAGGGTGGAGTGTGCCTAGAGAATTGCAAGGACAAAAAAGAAAGTACTTGGAATATAAGCATGGCATCAACAAATGAGGTGTTAACTACAAATTTGTCAAAATAGATGACATGTTGAGATGAGTGTGCAGAGTATCTTTAGATATGGAGTAACAAACTAAATCGTGTTGTATGCATTAATTACTCTTTCTTGGTCGGTACATATGATGTCCTGCTTGAGTTCATAATCACAAGGCACCTATTCCATGTGAGTCAACTATGTTAAATAAAGCATTCAACAAAGTCGATATGAATACAAATAAATTTGTAAAGATTCTGTAACTCACAAAGGCTGATAAAAGTCAGCTCACATTACTACAAATGCACACGAACAGCATCGCAGGAAGGCCTATACGCATCAGAAAGTAAAGACAACTTACAGGTATGTCATGCTCTCGAGCTTCTTGAAAGCAAGTGGAATGGTTCCATTTAACTTATTTCCATGTGCATTGCTGCAGATGGATCAATGAATGAGCAACATCATTAACGACAATAGTCGATTATGGACAAGCAGCAGTTAATCGTTCTTACAAACTGTTGAGATTCACACATGAGCTCAGGTTTTCTGGAATAGGCCCTTCAAAGTTGTTGTTTGCTATGTTTCTGCAAGAAATTGGAATGACCATAAGCATCGCATCCTTAAAGGACAAGAATAGCCTATAATTTCAGAAAATGCATACAGATCAAACAAGTCTGTGAGTTTCCCAAGTTCTGGTGGAATGAGACCAGAGAGCTGATTATCATTCAACTCCCTGCATAATACTTTTGGTAAGATGTTGAAGTAGCATATATTCCAAAAGTAAAAACAAATAGAGAAGATCGCCTCTTACAAATAGTGAAGCCTTGTCATGTTACCAAGCTCTGGTGGGATGGATCCTGTCAACTTGTTCCCTTGCAGATACCTATGAAACAGATATTAATAGTTTCATATGACGAGACTTAAAAGAACAATGATACTGAAACAACATAGAAATAAATTTTTAACCATATGCTTTTAACCATGTTAGGCCAATATGCTTTGTATAAGCACTTTTAATCAAATGCCATTGATCAGAACATCCCTCTGACCTAATAGAAAAGCATTTTTTAAAATCTTAAAAAACCACCCTGCAGTTTAATCACTTCAAAAGGATTTTAAAATTCAGTCAGATGCCATTATAGTCGTCATTTGTTTGGGTTCTCATGATATGTTCTTTCTGACTTAGGAAAAATACTATAAAAGAGGAAAGAGGAGGCAAAGAGAGTTTATTACCAACAAACAACAATGTTGTAGCAAACAGCAACCTAGTTTAGCATGACACAGTAAAAGCAACTCATAAAATAAAGCAATTTTGTATCTAGCAAATCAAACCACTTATGCATTACAGACTTACAATTTCTCAGTATATGTCAAGTTGCCCAAAATCGGAGGAATTGGCCCACTGAGAAGATTACAACTCAAATCTCTGCAGCATAAGAGCAAAAATGATAAAACCCCGTTCTCTTTGGTTATTAACAGTTATATTTACCCCAGAAACAGCATGATTCCTATAAAACATGGTAACAGTCTCATACTAATGTTGACATAAAACAAAAGGCAAGTAGAGAAGTTGTTCATGAATTAACATACAACACTGCAAGGGCTTGCATCAAACCAATCACAGGTGGAATAGGCCCAGAAAACTTGTTCCCTTGCAAGGACCTGAAATGCATGAAAAAGAGAACACTCTTGCTAAATATTGAAATTAAAGCAAAGTTGAAGGTTCTAGACAAGTTGCTAAAGTCGGTGTATATCATCATCATAAAAAATTTAAAATTAAAAAGATTCTTGCCACTTACAATGTAGCAACTTGCAAAAATCCAATATTAAAAGGAATTTCTCCAGTAAGCTGATTGTACGATAAATCCCTGAAAATGAACATCAGTAGTCAGAAAGAAATATCAAACAACAAGTTTGCTGCATTATACACAAGAATGGCTCCTGTACGTACAAAACCTGAAAACTGGTACAGTTTCCAATATTCTCAGGTATGTTGCCAGTCAAGCTATTGTTCTTCACATCACTGTGGGAGCACATTGTTCATTAGGCCTAAGCATGTAAACAAATACCCAAACACACCATTGAAAATGAAAGAGGAGACTTACAAGAACCACAATCCAGTCAGCTGGCACATGTCTGGAGATAAATTCCCCTCCAAGTTATTCCCCCGTAAACCCCTAATAACAAAGGTTAATGAAGATTTATGAGTACAATTTCTTTAAAAAAATTAACTGCATGCCTTGATTACTAGTATGACATTTCGCTAAATCTACCGAGAAACAAAACTTGTTTCCAGAAAATACAAAGGCTGAGATAACTTACAAGTACTGTAATACTTCATTCCAGTATATGAGCCTAGGTATCTCCCCACTCAACTTATTTTGTGCGAGGTCCCTGGGTATGCAAACAGTGATGCAAATAAAGTTAGTTGATAAAGAAAGGAAAATAATTTAGTGACAGTGCTCACAGTATCTTCAAGTTTGGAATTTGTGATAGTGTTGAAGGAATAGGCCCAATCAACTGATTGTTTTTCAAGATCCTGAAAGATGAAGCAGTAATTATTGGCACAGGAATTGTTAGTACAGTAATCATCGATGTACTTTAGAACATTATTTTAGCTTCAAACAGGGCATACAAATTTTCCAATTGCTTCAACTTTGATACCGAAAAAGGTATGTCCCCATAGATACTGTTGTAGGATAAGTCCCTGATAATCATTCAAAAACAAGAATGTTTAGCACTATGAAGCTATTTGATTATTGCTAACCAACAGTTCACCCTAAATACAGTTCACACTAGAACAACTTGGTGTTAATGATACACCAACCATTGCTATGTCCTTGCCTTCTAAAATGCAGTCATAACGTCATTGACAACCTGATTAAGCTTCATTATGGCTTACATTCATAAAACATGGACAAAAAGATTACTTTATAAATCAGACTTACAGTGTTTTCAATGAAGAACAAGCACCAATTTCATCTGGGATCTGTCCAGACAATCGATTTGCCTTCAAGTCGCTGTCCAACCACCATCAAGGAAAAAAGATCAGCAAACTTACAGGATATCAAGAGATAAGCACCAAAAACATGTGAAAGTGACAGATGTCCACACATTACCCACATCTGCGTTCATATCACATACAGAAATAGTAAACCAACAATGAAAAAAAGAGGGGCCTATGATCTTACATGGAAACAAGGGCCTTCAGATTTCCGATCGCTGGAGATATCTCCCCATCAAGATTTAACCCTGATAGATTACTGAACGTCCGCAGCACAAATGACATAAAAGGCCAAAAGAAAAGAAAATCCATCAAATGCCATGACTTAGGATAGAACTAGAATCTGAACCCTTGTGGCCAACGAGGTGTGTGACAAAATGTGAGCTTATATTCAGCAAAGCAACGATCTTACAGTGCAACTACACTGAAGGTCACGTTGTCGCAGATGACCCCTCGCCATGAGCAGTGGTCGGAAGATGGATCATCCGCCCAATCATATAAAACATTGTCCACATTGCGAAATGACTTCTTGATCTCCACCAATGTCGCACCTTAAGAGAAAGAAATGGAATGGTGAAGACAATCATCTCAACTCGCTTATAGTTCTAACTTCCCACCATTCTGCTCACAAACGTTGGACCAGAAATAGAGTGAAAAATGCACTGATGTTACAACAGTGACAAAAACCATGAACCCCAGAGAACAAACAAGATAAAATATGCTATGATATAGTATATGAAAGAGAATCTCTTTGCTTCATTAACTGTGTTTCTAAAAGAATGCTATGCTAGCAGATCAATATGCTTCTGCAGCTGGTTTCAGGATCTCCAAATCTGTAGCCATTCTTGCATGCCCAATGGAGAAAGTGAGTGAAAAATGTAGTAGAAGTGAACTCGCAACAAAAATAAGTGGGAAAGAGAACAAAAGTGGGATATATGTGAGGATGGAAAGACGACACAATCAAGAAAGATAAGAAAATTTCAGCTCAAAAGAACCTAAAAACTTTATGTAAGAAAGAGTTTTTTTCCCCAATACTAATGAGGTGAGATATGATGTTTGCTGATGGAGATCATTGGATTGGAAGAACCGGATGCAGAAAAAGGAAGTGAAAGGACAAATATGGAAGAAGAACAATATTTATTTGAAGAAGAGGACCTTTTTTCCTCTTTAAAACCACGAAACCAAATCTAGGCTGAACAGAGTATGAGAACAGAACCTAGGAAGCAAAAGCGTGGGAGATGACGGTTAAAAGAACAGGATTCTTGGCACCATAAACAATTGAAGTGGAACAAGAAGCAGATATAAGAAGCTATAGAGCCAAAAAGTGTACTTTCGTCACAATAAAATATCAAGAGAAGCTAATCTATCCTTGAACAGAGCACGGAATAGAAAAATAGGAGCGGATGCGCGAGAACCAAAGATGGATAGCCCTCATCTCATTCCTTCTCTTGGATATATATATATATATACACACACAAATATAAAAATCCCAACTTTAGTCGGGTCGTCAGGTTACCTTCGCTCGTGTCGCCACAGACGCAGCTCAAAGATCCAAGGAGAACCAAGCTCACAATCCCTCTCCACCACACGGCCATGGGCACCGCCCGCTTACTCGCTGCCTTGTGACGCTCGAAAGAAAGCCAGACACCCAAAAGAACTCATCGGCCACCCGACACCTCCGCGAGGGAGAATCCAAGATCTGATCTTTCGTGCCAGAAGCTGCGCTACAGGCGACGGGAAGTTACGAAGTGCAATGGAAGTGAGACGAGGAGGAGGAGGAGGAGGAGGGAGAGGGGGGAGGGAGGTGGAGGAGCTGTTCTTTTTGGTTCTCCTTCTATTCCATCATAGTGAAATGTGATGCAGTCTCCCCTACTTACTGCCACAGAGAGAAACTTAGAGAGTGAAGGAGCGAGAGGGGGATTTCATATCAGAGAGATAGAGAGAGATGTGGATCACGAAGTGGTAGCTCGATGGGTCACATCATTCTTGCAGCGTCTCTAAATGCAGTTCACCTCTCTCTCTCTCTCTCTCTCTCTCTCTCTCTCTATCTGTCACTCTAGTGATAAGAGAAAAATGAGGGAAGAGAGAGAAATGAGAGTACCAGAGAGAGAAAGAGAGAGAGAGAGATAAAGGTTCGTGAAGGCATATGGAGAGGGCAGCAGAGGTGACAGAGGAGCTCCTTTTACCTCCATTTTTCTTGTGATTTTTATGACCATTTATATTATTTGATGGTACAATTATGTTCCTCTCTCTCTCTCTCTCTCTCTCTCTCTCCCTCTTATCCCTACTGGTTCAGTCCATTGTCTGGGGTGCCATGTGATGTGCAGTTTCGATCAACACAATAATGCAAACCCAAGTGAGATATTGTAGCCGTAAAATTTTACATTAAATATCTTAAAAATTGAACTTAGAGAACTCCATTTAGGATGATAAAAAAAATATATTTTTTTTTAATATGATCTTTGCAGTAATTTCTCCTGTCCAATTGTATGATCATGCATGATATTTTTGCTTCCAGTTTGATCATTGGAGTGGCCTCACATGCAGCCCCCTGACACCCATCTCAGACCATGTCCATGCAATCAATGATTTACTAATCTTCTCATGACACAGTTCTTTTTTTTCCATGAGGTGTTTGTTCTTCATAATATATACATACTTTTTAATTTAATTTAATATATAATTCTTATACCTAATTAATCTTGACAAAATATTTATAATTTATATTTATCATAAATTTATTTTGATAGATGATCATAGAATATATTATAAAAATAAAAAATATTCTTTTATTTTTTATAATTATCGCATTTCTTGGATAAAGCATATAACCTTGAAAAACATTTTAAAATAAAAACCAATCGATCAAAAAAATATTGTTTCCATAATTAAAAGCAACTTCTCAACTTCTGTAAAATGATTTTAAGCCATACAATGCAAGAATCATATACGGCAACTTCACGCGGTTGACATTTATTCTCTATTATTGTGTTTCTTTTTGTTTTTTTTTCACCGATAAGAATCTTATAGAACTGGAACTCGAGAGCGAAGAAACAAAGAAAAAGAAACAGGGAAGAAAGCTACGGGTCCTCTTCGTGGATGTGTTGTTGCCCGAGGAATGTTTCCTGTTTTCTTTAACAGGACCGCAAAGTGTTTCCCACCGTTACTGCGCTCCCTACCCTTCTCGGGTAAATCCGCAGCGATCCGCATCAATCGACACAGCGAACTTACTTCCACCCACTCGTACACGAATTAACCAGCGGCGGCAGGTAGGAACACGGTGAGGCTCCTCATAGATATGGCCAACCAAGATGAAGGTACGATTCTGGGTGAACTTAAGAGAGGTATGGTAAAAGGACAGCTCCGATCCCCGGCCAGCTTTATCTGACGTCATGGACTAGGAGGTGGGGTCCTCGCCCAGCTCGACTTCTGACAAGAATCCATTATTACCGGAGGCAGAGGGTGGCAGCGACGGGGAAGGGGGTGTAATAATATTGGGTGTCTGATAGCAGTTATCTTTTTTGCATGGCATCAGCAAGAGCTCAGACTCTGAGCCGATGATGCCTTCCCCCATCTCTCTCTCTCTCTCTCTGTGCGCTTTGGTTTTGGGTCCGAAAGCAGCGCTTTGGTAGTACAAAGTCCTTTTCAGTCTGACACCCACATTGAGGTCCGCCACCGCCTAACATTAATGTCTTCTTTTACCCCCATTCTCTCTTCCCTCCTCTTCTCTCTCTTTTCTCGCCTCTGTAACTCTTCTTCGCCCAATTTTAGGTTCTGTCCAGCTCGTTTAAACCAAGGGCGCCTCTCTCTCTCTCTCTCGATTGGATGCAGCGTTGGCCCGACAGCTAGGTCTATGTGCCGTAAGGAGGTGAGGAAAGTACACAACATTCTCACTAATCATAATGTTATTTGGCCGATTAAATTCAGATATACTATACCCTTCGCGGCTACCTGTACAGTGATTGCCTGGGTCGACGGCCCCACGCAAGTCAGGTAGGTCGACGGGCAAGCCATGAACTTTGTAGTTCAAGTGTTGCTGTGCTAATTATTTTCCGTGGATCATGAAATGTAACACTGTAAAGCCATTCTAAGAACTTGTGTGCATGCATGCCGACGTGCGAGGCGACATCTCAACTGTTCCATCTTCGGATTAGCTGGTTGAGGTCGCATCGACACAGTCTTAGAATCGGTTGGTGCATGCCCAGAGGACAATAATCTGCGAAGGACGCCACCCACACAAACAGGATCCAACAGTTCAGTAGAAAGGTTTGTTATTGCTGCATCAGAGAACTAACCCAACCTTATCATCTTTTTCGTGCACTGTTCGTCACAGTATAGGAGCACAGAAGTCCATTGTCAAGTGTGATGATGGAATTGGTGTGTCAGAAACGTAAGCAGGCAGCATTCGATCGAACCAAATGGTCGGACGATAAGCCGTGAAGGAAGGCGATCCTCTGGATCCGAGATGGCGTATATATATACATATATATTTTTCTTCTAGCTAGTAACATTGTAATAAGCTTTATCTTCTCTTGGCATGATAAGAACATGATCTCATGACTGTCCAAAACACGCTGTAGTTGTTTGTTTGCTGTTTATCAAATGTCATTCCGGTCCGAACCATCGACATTAATCATCGTGGACCTTCCAATAATGTTATCCTCGCTCCTAACTCTCACGACAGAATTATGATTAAGTACTTCAGAGAATAGCCAATGTCTAAAAGAATAGTTTCCTTCAATGATATATATCAACCTGTCACTAAACATTTTAAGTTATCCACAGTTAGCATATATATTATATGTTCATATTTGTTAGCGGTCGATAAGGATACCAAATGGCTAATTGTGACTTCATTCCAGTAGGAGTGCCAGGAATCATGTTTTGTTGTATGCCATTGAAGCATGTCAGATGCGGGTTAAATTTTATGCTGGATTCGTTTTCTTGTGTGTCAGATTTTGTCACCTTGCGGGTCAAACGACACCATTTCTGTGGTAGAGTTACTGAATGGACCTGATCCAGTGATACAGAACAGTGGTCACCTTGCAGTTTTTTTGCTGTTGTTCAGGCAGATGGCCTAAGCATAAAAAGAAGTTGATGAGTCATTCAGCTATGAAGGAAAGAAACCCTAGCATCTACATGTAGTTTTCTGATTCATGGAAAGAACCAGAATCTATTTCTTGGGTTGTAGAACGCTGTTATTAGCGGTGGTGAGATGGTGCTTATATGTGTCTATGGAAGATTTGGCTTTGGGTATTAGATTTTGGTAGTCATGATCACGTAGTTTTGTGTAATCTCATAATTAAAGAGCTTTAGCTTTGAGTTTGCAGTAGCAGTCCGGTGAACTTACAAGTTGATGCTCATGCAGCAGGAGAAAAGCTACACTCATATCAGTGCTATAGTTATAAACAGTCTCAAGAAGCATATAGAGTTACTCTTTTGCTTGATTTGTCTGATGAACACTGGGAAAGATACAGACAAATGCAATAATCCATGGCCATAATGGTGAGTACATGAGCAATCTGGTACCCTTTTTTGCTTTTTCTGAATACCTAAATTTGATGATATAAGCTAATTGAAAGTATAAAAATCATAAGCATAAGAAAGAAATTTTTACCAAATTACTATTTCGTCAAAATGATTATAAAGGTGTTCTAATGCTGGACTAAACTTTGCATTAGAATGTATAGAATGCCGCTTTATCCTCAGGATGGAGATTAGAAAGAAGTACGAAGATATCACCTTTGCTTGCGTTCATCATGTGAAGCTCACTTTGTCCACTGCAAAGACAAGGATCGAACGTAGGATAAGATGATGAGAGAGCAACAAGTTATCAGATCAAAGTTTTAGTTAAGAAATGATGAAGCGATTTGTAATCGCATCAGTTAATTCTTTCATTCGGATGATTTTAATTTGCGCATTTAACAGCATCTATAAGATAACTATCAAATTTATAGAATGTTTTTTGACCCACAACTCGTCTCGTTTCAGAGAATGTAGTCGACCTTCTTTTTTCCACACCAAAATATTTGTCAATCGAAATGCATTTACATGTGAATATATATATATATATATATATATATATATATATATATATATATATATATATATATTGTAAGGAATTATAAATGCAAACTCTGCAAACAATTTCATGAATATGGTTTCACGTAGTCACCTCGGCTTCCTAACATTTCTTTGTTCTCGGCATTTTCCAAACAATTTCTAAAAACAAAAGATACATCTACCCTTGACTTGAATCATCACTGCAAATTATTTCGCATGTTCGATGCATTAAAATGCTATCCGTGACGCTCAAGAACACCTATTACTCTACTCTATAGCGAATAGCAATCATATGCTGCTGGCCTAAGAACAGAATAAATATATTCCTATTTAACATGACAATCTGTTGGAAATGGAATTGCTCTGCTGCTGCATCCACATATGTTGCTGCCTCATCGAAGCATCTGTTCCCTGCGCCGCTGAAGTTGACGGCTGGGCACCGTCCTTCTCTTCACATACTAATTCTTTGTTTGCTTTGTTCCCGCAAAACTTTGGAGGTGGAAGCAAGGTTGGTGGTGATGGCGATTTCATCACTAAGCCTCTATCGTCATCACTATGGAGAAATGGATTGTGAAAGCTCTCAGGTTGACCTGCATTGTCCCAGCTGAGCGAGCTCTTTGATGGCATCACGGGCCGTGGTCCTTGGACAGGATTAACGCTGGCTGTCATGACAGACGAGTCGTTTGATGTCTTTGGTTTATCATCCAGCAGGTGTAGACGGTTAACCATGCAAATTTCTCCATTGCTGCTGCTGCTGCTGGTTGAGGTCGCTTGAATCTGCCAGTCTTGGTGGTCGGACATTGCTGTTTCCCCGTCGCTTATCGTCTCCCCCGTCGATGCGCTGCCACCTCCCGTCATATCCGATTGCTGATCCTTCAACTTCTGCTTCAGCTTGAGAGGATTCTTTGGCTTGGTGATCGGAGACGTCCCGAGTGAATTCGGGGCCGCGTTCTCGAGGAAATCTTCCAATGCTTTCAGCAGGGATACTGAGATTTTTTGGACGCACGGGTACTCGGACATCCTCCCGACCCCGATCTTTTTGCAGAGATCGTAGAAGGAATCGAGCTCTTCAAATTGCTTACGTGCCTTCATGCATGCATGCAACGTCTGGAGACGTGATTCAGGCTGCAGATGGAAGAAATTGTCGAGCAACATCGACAGCCCGTTGGAAATGTCGTGGTAGAGGCTGAACGTCTCACAGACGACCAAGAAGAGCGCGATCTGGACCAGGCGGTTGGTCTTGGCGGGGCCGGTCGGTCGTGTGCCCACCGCGCGGTCGAGAAGCCTTTGCCAGTGTTCGATGTGTCCGAAGATCAACGGGGTCCTCATGTTGGCGAAGACGTCGGCGGGCATGAAGGGACGGCGCCTGAGGTTGCTGAGCTTGCCGAGGAGAGCCGACTCGAGGCGGGCATCGAGGTAGACCGCGAAGGTGCGGACGAAGGCGGAGTAGTCCCAGGGACTGGAGGCGGCGGAGTGGTCGCGGAAGGCGGAGAGGTCGAGAAGGCGGCGGGAGCTGGCGCCAGCCGCGAGGGCTTCGTGGATGAACTGGGAGCCGCCGTTGCAGAGCAAGCGGAACACGATGACGAGGGACTTGAGGGCGACTACCCAGTTACTGGTGCGCGAGATACGGCGGGAGAGGATCTGCAAGCAGGTGGCAGCTGAGGACGGGGAGGCCGCCGAGAGGAGGAGGACGTCGGCTAGGTTGCGCTCGTCGATGGGGACCTCGTCGTGGGAGGTGGCCTTGAGGATGGCGACCTCGATGTCGGAGGAGCGCGTGGAGAACTTGGCGAGGCTGATGCTGGTCTGGTCCTTGATGGCGCCGATGGCCTGTCGGAAAACGGTCGGCATGGTGGCAGCAGACGAATGCCCGTCGGAACTCTCTCCTTCACCCCTGGCCATGGGGAGTATGAATCCCGGGCAAGTTCGCGTTCAAGCTATTTCTTTCTCGATGGTGAGGAAGGGGGCCACCAAGCCCTTCAGCAGTCTTGGAACGGCTCGCAACCCGTTTACTAAAACTTTGGTTGGTGTGGGGAGAGTTACGTAATGAGACAGAGGAGGTGGTGAGTCAATAAACTCTAAAGAAAGAAGAGTTTACGCGGAGGTCAATCTTTCCTGAGCCAGACTAAATCGTAGGAGAGGTTGTGAACGAAAAGGTTGCTGAGGATCATGACAATTTGTTTTCGTATTATCTTTCTTTCTTTTTATTTATTATATTGAAGATAAAATTTCGTATCTCAAACTAATTTGTTGTTTTGAATTGTTTTTACGCTTAACCCAAACATCCTAAGCAAAACAGCAACAAGGAAATTATAAGCTAAGGTACATACTAAAGATATTAGTTGCCAAGTAGATTAAGACCAACATAACTTTTTGCATAAAGTATATGCCTCATGTCGTGGAAAACAACCTTGAGCCGTGGTCTCGGGGTCGACGTGGCACGGTTCAAGTCCGGATAACGGGGGATCTTCCCGGGACGACCTTCGAGTCCGCAGAGGTGATCGATTACAGTGGTCCGATTGGGACGGGGTCACCATTTCCTCCGGACAAGAACTCCTCACCTGCGCGTCCCGTGGGGACCTTCGGCTTCGCACCTGCACAAAGGTCGGGTCGGAAAGCTCGACCCGACTCCTTCGATGATCAAATTAGAAGATAGTGACAGGGGAATTCTGTAGTTAGGGGGTGCTCTTCCCTCCTCTCTCCTCCATTCAGAATATGAGGATATTTATAGAAAAACTTACTGTTTCCTAATGTATCCGCTTGCAGAGGACAGACAGGTAACGTGGTGTTGGCGTGACATGAAGGACCGAGCCTGAACAAGATGTTTAATGTGCCTCGATCGATGTTCAGGCCCATTTGACCAGATGGTGTCAGGTCAGCCGACGTCAACCCGAGTCTTATCGCTATTATTACCCTCATCACCTCCTAAAACATACTATTAATACATTTTAATTTGGACCCTCCAATGAATCGATGGCTCCAAATTCAAGCTGATGACAATAACAGACTGATAACCGAAGAGCTAATTTGAAATGCATAGTAAACGATCATGTGAAGTACACATAACAACACGATTATTCTACGAATCAACGTAGTACACAAATGGTAGTCTTATTTGAGTGCTGACGACGGCTCTGCTTGAACTCCGATGGAGGAGAAACTCTACGATCACACGCCCTTATACGTGACATCATCTGCTTTGCCGCAGTACATACAGATATAGAATGCCCGGAATAATACATTACTGCACTTCACCTCCTCCCCCACAGCGTTCCATTAATTATATATAAAGATGATGAGCCTCCGTATCACAGCTTCGACCGCTGCTGTTGCTGCTGCTGACCGAGGAAGGGGTAGTCGGTGTAGCCCACGACGGGGTCCGCAGTGTAGAAGGTGGCCCTCACGTACCTGTTTAGGGGAGCGCCCAGCTTGAACCGCTCCACCAGGTCCGGGTTGGATATGAAGAGCCTGCCCAAGGACACCAGATCGGCGTCGCCTTGCTCCACCGCCGCCACCGCCAGCTTCCGCGTGAATCCCCCGCTGCACATGAAGCTCCCGTTGTACGCCTCCCGCAACGCCCGCATCATCTGGTTCTCCTCCTCCGCACTACCTTGCAGCCCCGACTCCGTCTGCCCGTACGCGACGTACCGCGGCTGGGTCACGTGCAGGTACGCGAGCCGCTCCCCGGACTCCCGCTGAAGCGCGTTGAGCTGCTCGATCACGGTCAGCCCCAGCCGGAGCGGGTCCGAGTCGTACGCGTCGAGGTGGTCGATGGCGGGCGAGATGCGGACGGCCACCCGCTCTGGCCCTACGGCGGAGGTCACCGCCCGGGTCACTTCCACAAGGAACCGGCACCGGTTCTGGAGCGAGCCGCCGTAGGCGTCGGTTCGGTCGTTGATGCCGTCTTTGAGGAACTGGTCGATCAGGTAACCGTGCGCCCCGTGGATCTCGACGCCATCGAACCCTATGCATACGTTGATGGAGCAAAAGTTAGTACATGGAGACGAAGTATTCCATCGCAACAGCTAAGCATTGCTTTAAAAGCTGTGCATGTTTAGAATGTAGTGGTCAGACTGGAGAAAGCTGTCTCAGAAATAGGACTCCTCAAAGAAATACGACAATAATTTATCAGTGCAGAAAAGAACCATCTCTTGCTTGGAGGCATCACAATTACATAATAAAAAAGAGTAAATATTACTTGTGCTTCCAAAGAAGGTTATAATTACTAATGAAAATTTTCTTTTAGAAGTTGAAAAAAACCGAAAAATAGAGGATTAGTGGCTCCGAGGTAGCATGTAAATTTTAACTTGGAATTGGACCATCAAAGTGGACTTTACGAAAGTGACCTTAAGCTTCTGTGTTTAGCTTATGGGATATAAATTTTAACTTGGAATTGGTGATCCAAAAACCTTTAATTTGGAGCAAGTGGGTTTTGGCTGAGAGCAATCAAAATGGGAAGGGAAGATGGTTGTGTGTTTTGGCTTCGGAAACTCTGCTTCAATAGCTTTCAAACAGAAAAAAAAAAAAATTAATGCCAAAGATCAAGGAATTTGACTTTGCAAAACTACATCAGTGCCAATTTTCAGTTTCAGTGAAACAAAGTGATCCTGAATTGATTCATGCAATGAAATTGCATAGGAAAAGTATCTAGAGCATTAAAAACTCCTTTGACAGTAGCTGGATAGGGCGAAAAACACTTAAATCACAGGAATTGCACAGAAATCTAGAAGAATATGGACTTACAATTGAAGAAGGCTATCATTTCCTTTAGATACATGGTTATGGAGAAGAAAACCTTATGTTTTGGGAATTGTGAGGTAGTCTAATAGATTAAGGACTAGAAAACATAAAAGTCTTTATCTTTTTGGTCCGACACATGGTTAGCAAGAGGTCCCTTGCTAGATAGATTAATAAAGGATGGAATGTTGAACCAGGACATATCAGAGAAAGCTCAAGCTATCGATGTTATATTTGCATAACAGATAGAACCCTCCGCCTGAATACTTGTAGATACTGCTAGAATAAAATAAAATATTGGAAACTTTCTCAAGGTCAGCTGCATATTTACATACCTCTTCCTATGGAAGTCAAATGTTGATCATTAGGGAAAGAAGTCACTAAAGACGGAGGAAATGTGTATTTGCTAATGCCATATATTACACTTGACGGAATGTGTTGAGATAATTTATTTGAAAGCAAAAGATGTACAGTTGAAGCTGTTCATTTTAAAATTTCCAGGGGAATATTTAGTAATTGTCTTGAATTGTAGCAAACCCATATATAATTTAGATGGTTAGAAGGCTCAGTATTTTTACAGTGAATTAAGTTGCTTGGATGTTTTGTATTGAATGGATCTGGATTTAAGTTTGACCTTTTTCAGAAATAAAAAACCCTAATGCTAGTCTTAAATCCTAATATTTTAACTCTCTGTGTTAATAACTTGCTTTATCTCTACTTAAAAAACTAGAAAACCTTGCTCCAAAAAGCATGCTGAATTCAGTGTAAAATTTATTAAAAAAAGATTATTTCCTAAATGATGTTAGATTTACAAAAATCATAAATTCCTTTAAAAAAAATGAAACATGCCATGACAACAGTTAATTGACAGAAAACCATATCAATAAAATGATTTTAATTTATGGAAAGATTCATTACAGAAATGTAGGGTGGTTGGTCACATACCTGCTTCAATTGCATTCAGGGCTGCTTGCCGATAGTGCTGCACTATTACTGGTATCTCTGAAGTGGCAAGCCTCCGGGGCCTGGCATAGCTACCGTATTTCCCATCAGGCATCAGTATCTTCCACCTCCCTGATACTGGCTTATCAGTGGAGGATATAGGAGCTGCAGTACCTCCTGGTTGGTATACTGTGAGAAGGAAGTTCTATCAGTATTCAGGCAGAAAAAGAAGGATGAGTTCAACTGGATTTATTTTCCTGTATCAATCCGCATGGAAAAAACATAGCTATACAGGAACCTAAGACGTTTATAGTTTGATGTTGATGGCTTCAATATACTACATCTCGCCACTATCATCTATCGAGCAAACAAATTATCTGAATTCTCTTCAGTGCAATGATGAAAAGAATTGACAACTCAAAAAAAAGATACTGAGACAAGCTTAAAAGTACTTTTTGGTATAGGAAATAAAAACTACAAATGTGCTTGTATAATTAATTTGGTTAATCAGGAAAATTTTATACCTTAGAAAAACATGTGCATCACTAAGCATGTTCACATTTATTTTGTTAGTACTTCAACAGAGTTCAAGATAATGTTTATATGCATAGTTTTCAGGAGCAAACAAACATACACCATTGTGTTTTACATTATAATTTCTAAAATCAGACTTAGTGAGAGCTCCTTCCATAATAACAATTCTAAAGCCTTCCAGAAGCAAAAACAATTTTCATTTGCATTTCAGGAAAATATCTGCAGCATTTATCATATGAATAGGTGGGTTAGCAAGTGCAAGACAACTTTAACTAATCTCAACTTAAGCAACTCATGCAAATAATCAGAGATTAACAGTACTGCAACCAAAAGAGTGGGTCAAATTGGACCCTCCATTCCCTCATTGGGTTAAAATGAATACTGATGGCTCATTTATCTCTATGTTGTAGAGGGAGGGAGTGGTTCTTAATTGTCACCAAAGAATTGGAGTCTTATAAGATATTGCCCATTTATGAGGAAGCTAAACATGTTACTGTTTGGTTAGCCAAATATTGAATCTCTACCTACTGAGCCACCCAGATTTGTAACTATGATCTGAGTGGTGCCTGTTGTTAACCTCGTTTAGTTTATGAATTAAATTTTCCGTTTTACAAAAATAAGAAGTATGCACTCGTACCGTACTTGATATGGCATGTTACTTGAAAACACTATTGTCACATGAACTGTAAATCTTTCAAGAGATAATATATATATATATATATATATATATAAAATAATAATAATAATAATAATAATAATAATAATAATAATAATAATAATAATAATAATAATAATAATAAATATGATTGATCAATGTTTTAACAAACAAAAGAGACAGTGTAACTTGGTTCATCTTGATTGCTATCCTTGGTTAGCGAGACTTGAGATAGAATGACATATACATACTTTGATTGGATGCTCGACCAACATGCCACAACTGGCAAAAGATGATGCTTCCCTTGGCATGAACAGCATCGACAACTTTCTTCCATGCATCTATCTGCTCCCTTGTATATATTCCAGGGCAACGTGGGAACCTTCGACAACATTACAAGAATGTCAACAACATTCATGATTAAACAAGGTTGCAGCATGTGGCCGGTCACAGCTGAGGATATACTAAAATTCTACTCTATCCTCATATTCTAGCTGGCGCAACTTTGGGAGTACAGAATCAAGTTGTGTCACAGAATTACCACCTTTCATTCTAAAGCAAAATGACATCTTTCAAGATGGAGGCATAGACCGAAACTAAGACAGTAATTACGCTATTATAATGAGACATTTTGAATTTATACTAATTAATGCATTCTATTGTTGTAAAAAAAAAAGGCGATTTCTTTTTTCCTTTGAGGAATAATCAGGGCGACCACCAAGCGAAGAAATCAAGAACCTATGCACATGAATTCCCTAATCTCCCCAGTGTAATAGTTGTGACTGAACGAAAGAAAAGGCTCAATTTAATATAAGTTTAAATTGAACAGTAAAAGGGGTTCCGGTGACGAAAATACCCTGCTCCGGTGGGGGAAATTACGGTGCCCTCCGTGATGAGGAAACCTCCGTCGGTGGCCCTCTGCGTGTAATACTCGACGTGGGCGGGCAGCGGGATCCCATCGATCGCCCGGCACCTAGTTACCGGAGCCAACACCACTCTGCGGCCGAGGCAAACAACAAAAAGAAATAGAAACGATGTCAATATTTCCAAGGGACGAGGACGATATCGGTAAACAGAAGAAGGCCCCGCTCTCTCCCTCCCCTCGGGTTGAAGTAAGCTCCGAAACCTCGCTTCAAATTTACATAACTACCCCCGTCCCCTCTCGAAACATTGCCGGTACTTTACAGGAAGAGAACTCGGATCGAGAGAGAGAGATGAGCTGACCTGTGGGAGAGACGGAATCGGCCCATCTGGTGAGGTGAGAAGAGCGACGGTCGTTGAGTCATCGGTCCGGATATCCAAAGCTGGTGGGAGAGGGGAAGAACCGGAAAAGGCAGCGGGAGTTCTCTTCAGTGGGGAAAGAGCGAGGGGAGATAAATAGAACATTGGAAGCTGCAAGTGGAGAGGACGGGGAAATGGACTCGATCGGGCCCGATACTGGGGCCGTCCACCGGACGAAACGCGGGTTCAAGTGATCCCATTGGTGGCCACAAAGAACATGCACGTGGGGCCAGTGGCTGCTGTCTAATGGGGGCATTCTTCTGCTATGACGGTAGCTCGGCCGCAACACAGGAAGCGCGACCCCTACTCGACCTCGTGGCGTCGGCGGTGGAGGGCCCAACTCCCAGTCCCACTCGAGCCACATGGAGACCTTTTTCCCGTCCTCGCGCTGATACCATCCAACTTCCACAACGGAGACTTCACGTGGGCCCCGCAACTGCCACCAACCGGAGCTCTTATTCACGTGTTCGGTGGCTCGTGCGAGACAGGGAAACCACCGTCGTGGGGTCGGTGCGCGTCTCTTTCCTATCAGTGCGGCGGTCAACTTTGGCGGGGAAGTCGGTCCTCATCACGTGTTTCTTATTGTCTTTGGTGTCGCGCCATAGTATTTTCCTGTTTGTCGAAGAAAAGCACGGAGGGTTTCGTACGAATCAGAGCTGCTAATCTCTCCGATAATTGTAATTTGCCTTTCTAGATCGGAGTTACGTACCAATAAAATCTAAGTTGCCATGATCTTGTAAAGCTTATTAAGTTACTGTCATTTGGCTTTCTTACTCGGTTTTCCAATCCTTCTGTAATGCTTTGATTAGTTAACGCAATCTGAAAATGAAAAAAAAGGAAGGAAAAAGGATAAATGAGATAGATAGAACCAAAAGAAACTGAGTGATTCAGAGCTCTGAAAATTGTAAGTTATTATCGTGAATAGTTATTTTTATTAATTATAATACATGTTTTATTGATTTCAATCATCTTTATCTTCTTTTTTAAAGAGAGGAATAGCCCTCTCGATAATTTCTTTTACGAAAAAAGCTAAAATTAAGATTTATTTGATTGCTTAATAAATATAAATAAATTTTATTAAAAACTATAGTTAGTATTTATTCCATATAAGCTATTTGATATTTCTTACTAAATTCTTTCGAATACGAAAGAATAAATATTTATTTAAACTTACGATATGATTTTTGAAAGTTCGATCAATAAATTCTACTACCAGTTGAATAGTAGACTTCATCATTCTCAATTTACTTATTTAAGAGTATGCTTATATCCTTTTTATAAAATTATCATATAGTGAATTTATAAAAATAAAAAAAAAGATTGATGTCAACTGTGGAACTCTATTTTCAACCCTTATATTGAATCTTTAGTCATGTAAAATTCATATACAATTTATTTTGAGAGAATAGTATTCTAAGATTATTCATAAATTCAATTTTGAACACCCGATAATTTTTAAAAGTAAATCAGATTGACTCGACTTAACGACATGAAACATCAATCTCTCTCTTATGATTTAGATACGGTTGAAATCCAATTTAATCAAACTTTCTCTTTTATAGTTAAAACTAGACATAGGACCAATACGGATCGAATCAAACATAAGTCAATATCATCGCATAATAGAATACATTTAACGAAAGGGAATCTTTACGGAGGTTTCATGCCACCTTACATGGCATAAAACATTGGGGAACCTATCTAGAATAATTGACAATTCAATTATCTTTCTTTTGACAAAGACATCTTCTCTGACCTCCTCTTGGATTTGTCGTTCTCCGTGACTCTTCTTTACGAGGGATCGATCTGCTTAGCTACAACCACCACTAAGGCTGCCAATCCAAGCAAAGATAAGACCCTTCATGTTGGTGAGGTTTGCCAATGTGTAATCTGTAAACCATATTTTCTATAAAATAATAAAAAGAAATAGAGACATAATTACTCCACTCGATTCCCCAAAAACTATGCACAAAAGGAACTTTATGTGTGCAAAGTTCCTGTGTGTATTCGATGCGTGTACTCGTATGCTGTTCATGAGCTATCCTTGTTCGAGATGCATCCACTCGAGTATGATGTATCGTTCATCGTGAATTGCTTACGTGTCTGAAAAGGACGCCACGTTAATAAAGCGGGGGAGAGAGAGCGAGAGAGAGAAGAGGAGAATAGCAGCCGGACGGTAACCGTACCGGCTGTGACCAGATTCGCTACAGTTTTGGACAATAATTCATTATTTTGCACCGAGCCGAGGGAACGACAGGTGCGCAAAGGAACTCGAAAACATCAAGTTAGAATGGGCTCCACGAGCTGCCACGTAGAGAGTTTGGAACACTTTAGGAGCGCTCCACTTAATTGGCTGACGCGTCGTGCCATCTTTGCACGGTAGAGGTTTCGGTTTGGTGTTCGGTGCATTTATAACTTCTTTAGTCCAAGCCAAATTGCAGTGTCTTGGTTTCTTCTCTCACGATATATTCGGAAAAGGAAAGGAGCGAGGGAGCCCTCGGCGGCCGGCGCACTTGCACTTCAATCCATCGGATCTTCCTAGGTAGTCGATTTCGATCCGTTTATCCTGTTTCCTCCTCTCAGATTCTCCGGTTCTTCCCCTTTTCCTTTAATTGCTCGTTCGATTCCCTTGTGTATCGCCAAATAATACGTGAGCAATCTTAGTTCCTTCCGAATCAGGAGCAGCTTCTGAGAAAAGGATCTTCTGCGGTAAGTGATCTTTGTTGATGGTCTCATCTTTTCGTAATAAAAAATTTCTTATAAGGTGCAACTTTTTGTTTGTCTGAGTTTTTTCTGGAGTGTGGTTGTCAAATCCGTTGAAAAGTAATATTTTTTTTGATTTTTTGTTGAAATCATGCTGAATTTGAATAGTTTTATGGAGTGTTCATTATCAATCGAACGGTCGTTTAAGATGCGATGTGGTTCTTGCGGTCAAATGGGTACATCTGCTCTATGGTAGCGGCGGAAATGTTTTTTTTTTTTTTTTTTTTTTAATTCTCTCTGGTGAAGCTGCACGAGTGCAGTTTATTTTGGTGGCGATTAATTTGGTTTCTGAAGGTTGCCAAGCCTTCCTTTCTTATTTTGGGATGTGAAAGAAGGCCCATACAACTTTTTCAGATTTAGGAAAGGTGAGTGAATTGGATGATTAGTTGACGTGTCAACAAGGGCAGCAAACTGTCATTTTCCAGCTAATTTGGGCCAACTGCGTGGATTAAAATCTCTTTTTATTGTTTCTGATGAAGTTTTCTACTTTTCGTTGTACTAACATCCTTAATCAATTCACTTCATAATATGTTTTTGACATATCGATGCCATCTTAAATGTTGTTTTCCTTTATCTGTCAGAGCTATATCTAGTTGTTTTTGAAGGTAAACAATTTTCAGTCTCTCTTTTTTGGTAACCTCACATATCCAACTCTATGTCCTCGTCTTACTGATATTACCTTTTTTTTCTTGTTTTCTAATGCCCAACATTCCAGATTGTAAGACATTGCAGACTTTACAATCTTGTAAATTTACCTTTTAACCACGGGAACATACAACAACTACATTGAGCTAATGAAACCACTTTCAATTTTAATCATCCTGTGTTGACTGATTGCTCTGTTTTTCTTCTTCTTCCTGCTGAATGATTCATAAAAGATATATAAAATATTTAATTGCAAGAACTCCTTTTCCTCTCATCTTAACTATACTATTTAAGTTTTTTCTTAACATTTCTAAAGTTACTCACTATATATTTGATTTTGGTCTTAGTATAATTACTTATATATTCAAGTCTTATTCCTATAAGTCCTCACATCTACAACACTTCATTATGAAAAGTGTGATGTTGTGCAGAATGATGAAGATCAGTGTGAGCTTAAAGCTAACATTTTGTCTAATTAGGTTTTGATTGAGTCTGGGAAGTGTTAGCATACATTTCTAATGTTCTATGTACTTTATTTATTTATTTGTATGGTAACTTCCTAGGAGTAGTTTGAGTTATAGGATTTTTTTTCTCTACTTTCTAGGTCTCTATTTGTACATTAGCATGTGATTTTCAACAGAGTAAATATTTTTTTTATCAGATTTGGGTCTATATTAGTTATGGTTAGGAGTCTAATGTTATCTTAATATTTGGTAAGCTGTCAGGATTAGAAATGTGGTATATGATCATTTGATTGTTATATAGAAACAGATCACCGTACTTAGCCGGAGAAACATGACAACAGTTCCACATCAAAATTATAATCCCATATAATATTGAAGATTCTGATCAAGTAAAAAGGAAGGGAGAAACAAGAAAGTGGAATCAGTTGATCTAATCTTTGTTTTCATTTTTTACTTTTCCAAAGAAATTCCTTTTGTTAACGTGTCATTATAACTTGGAGTTTAGTCGGGAGTCTTTGATGATGTATTGAGTTATGATGTTTTCTTAATGGAACTGTGAGTTTCTTTCTGTTTTCATAGCCTTGATTTTCCTTCTTTGCTATCTCTTATTAGATTCATCCATCTAACCCTCGTCTTGTAATCAAATCAAATATTTAATTTAGGAATCAATTTTTATTTCCTTACTTGCCATTATAATTTAAGAAATATTAATCTTCTTTCCTTGTTTGTCATTGCGAATTATAAAATGACTATTAAGCATTTCAAATAGGGTGATATCATATTTGTTAGTATATTAAATAAAAATAATTTATATTAAATAAATACGAAAATTAAGAAAAAATTCCTTTAATGGAGGCTCACATTCTCCTATTTAAGGGGAGGGATTTCTCTCCTTCGTTCCTCACCTAGCCGAGCCCAACAATTGGAGGAACGAGGAGTTATATCCTACCGAAGAGATGTAGGTTTCCCTACCTTTCTTGAAAAATAAAAGTTTTTATTTTGATTCTTTAAATGTTGAAAGTTTTATAGTTCGAAAATATTTATCAATCCTTTAAATGTCAAAATTTTTATTGTTGCAATTAAAATCTATCAATTGATTTTTTTTATATTTACTTGGCTTAAGGTTTTTATTTAAACATGCTAAAAATTTACATGTTTTATGTAATAAATATATGATATTTCATGATATTATAGTTTACCTTTAATCTTATCTGG